TACTGCTTCTCTGTAGACCTTTCATTTCGGTCGTATTGGCACTCTTCGGTCACATATCACGCCCCTCACCTTCCTTCAGTCGTTCCATCCACATTGAATACGGTAGTTTATTTCTTTATCCATTTCTCCTGATGGTTCTGTCACTGCTTCTAGATATTTGAAACTATTCATTCGCCTTATGTTCACTCCAATCTAATCGTTTCGTGTCTTGTTGATCTCCATCTCTATCTGTTGACATATATTCCGTTTTGCTTCTGCTTATCTTCATACTTCTACTCTCTGAAGCCTGCCTCCATCTCTTGAGCTTGGTTTGTAGAGCTCACTTACTCGTTGCCACTAAAACATCATCCGTATAGACACACCATGATGGGTTTTCTCTAATTGCTTTCGTTACCACATCAAACACTGTATTAAAAAGGAATGGGCTTAGTGCCGAGCCTCGATGGAGTCCGACTTTGACTTGGAAGCTATTCGTAGTTCCAGCTGTACTTCTCGCCTTGGCTGTAGCATTCCTGTGCGATTCCTCTGGGGCACCTCTTTCTCTCAAACTTCTCCACTCCTCTTTTTTTGGCACTCTATCATAGGCCCTTTCCAAGTCTATGAATGCCATATGGAGTACCTTTTGTGTCTCTCTGCACTTTTCTATCGTTTGTCTTAACGTGAATATGCTGTCAATGGCACCCACTCCTGTCATGAAACCTAGATTTAGCCTTCCTAGAAATCTTCCTCTCTCAGTTTTCCGTCCATAATCTTTTCTAATAGTTTTAATGTGTAGGACATCAACTTCCCTGTAATTTTCACAGCTCTGGACATCTCCCTTCTCTTTAAATATTGGAGTATGCTTTCCCTCCATTTCTCAGGGATTACGTCATAATCCATTACCTTTTTCTTTAGATGCCACAAGATGTTAGTGCCCTCGTCACCAAGTGCTTTCCACGTCTCAAGGAAAGTTATCAGGTCCAGTCGCTTTCCCACACTTCATTTTTATTAAAACTCATTCCACCTCATGTTTAGAGACATCTTAGTGCGTCATAATTAGCATCTTCACATCCTCTCGCATATTCTCTTCTTTCAAGAGATGTTCAAAATGTTGCTTCCATCTATTGATAATATCGATTTCTTTCCGTAATACATTTCTATTTTCATCTCTCTGATGTGTGTAATGTCTTTACTGCTTTTATTTGGATTCTTTGTCATACGATTTTATTTTCCTTGGCCTTCTTTCGTTTCTTATTCTTCGTAAAGGTCACATGCTTGGCATCTGACAATTGCTACGGTCTTCCTTGCCTCTTTATTACAATCTTTATAAGCTATTTTATTTCTGCTTCCGGCTGCGTCTCTTTCCATCTTTTCTTTGCTTCTCTCTTGCGTTTCGTCTTCTGTTGTATTTCCTCATTAAACCACCAGGTTTCCTTGTTTTCCCTGATCTTTCCACTGCTTTCCCCTTACACTCCCTCTCCGACTTTTAGTATGATTTCGTTTACTCTATCCCACCATCCCTCAATATCGGTGATCCCTGAATCAATCTCTCTCAGTCTCTCGGGTCTAAAATTGTGATTTGACCTCATTATCCTTGAGTTTGAACCATTTTAATCTTCTCGAGCCACATTTAACTCTTTTCTGCCTTTGTGAAACCATGGCAGTTAATTCATTACTACAAGACGATGTTGTGTCGCCAAATATTACCTTACGATTTTTTTTTATTTCCACACGATCACATCTTCGATACAACATGAAATCAATTTGACTCGCCCTGTGCCCACTCTTGTATGTAATCAAATGCTCTTGTCTCTTTCTAAAGATGGTGTTATTAATGATCATATCATTTGAGACTGCGAAGTCGATAACTCTATATCCTTCATTTACATCACCAAAACTATTCGTTCGTTTTCTCTACCGACATGTCTGTTAAGGTCTCCACTCACAACAAACACTTCTCATTTTCTTCGACTTATTTCCCATTTCCTCTTGAATTTCTGCCCCAAAACGCTCCTTCTCTTCATCTGGACATCCACTTTGTAAACATATTTACTGTAAATTCATTCAAGATTACTTTCATCCACATTATGCGATCGTTCTTCCTGTGACCAAGTTTTTTATTTCTTGAGATAATTTTACACCGACTACCGTTTCTACCTTCCTTATTTGCGCCACTGTATATTAACTTATACCCATCACCCAATTCATTTGCCTTATTTCCTGACCATCTTATTTCCTGGACATACAGATTTATCAACTTTTTTATTTTTCATGAGGTCAGCTACAGCCCGGCCTCTGCCATTCATAGTTCCCACGTTCAATGTTCCAAGTCTCACGCTTTGAGCTAGTCTCTTTAGCTGGAGCCGCTCTTGATATGGTAACTCTCGATGTCCTAGCATTTCTCTCGGTTCACTTAAGGCTCATATTCCATAAGGTTTTGGCAGGATTTTTTATTTTCTTTTATTTTTTAGGTGAATAGTCTTCCTAACCCCAACCTTCGCTTTTTATCCAGCCAGCTGGG